AGAAAACAACTAAGCTCAGAGAGCATCAAGGACTCCTGTCCTCCTCTTCCTCCTCCTCCAGTCTGCAAAGCCCCCTCCCTTCTAGCACTGATGATGTTCCCTAGTTGGGTCATGAAACGTCTGCAAGAAAACCCCCAAGCTCAGAGAGCACCAAGGACCCCACAGTCGTCATCGTCCTCCTCCTCCTCTTCCTCCTCCTCCAGTCTGCAAAGCCCCCTCCCTTCTAGCACTGATGATGTTCCCTAGTTGGGTCATGAAACGTCAGCAAGAAAACCACCAAGCTCAGAGAGCACCAAGGACCCCACAGTCTTTCCCCCCCTCCTCTTCCTCCTCCTCCTCCTTCTCCTCCCCTTCCTCTCCACAAACCTCCCTCCCTTCTAGCACTGATGATGTTCCCTAGTGGCTCATGAAACGTCTGCAAGAAAACCACCAAGCTCAGAGAGCACCAAGGACACCACAGTCCAAGCGTGATGTACAAATTTTCTGTTTTGCGGGTAGCTCTCCACTTACTGCCATCCGTTTAGTGACCGTTTGAAGTTACAACAGGCCCTGGGAAAAAGTAACATAGGAGCCTTTTCTAAACTGAAGGCCGTCACAGCCTCCCCGTGGTCATCAGATTCAGACGCTGGGCAACGGTGGCTCACTCTACTGTCTCTCTGAGCCACAGAAACGTTGGGCTCCCCCATGGTGGTCGTAAATCGAGGACTACCTGCATTGGTGGCGTGGTTTTTCTTTGTTGCCTCCCAGGTGACCTACTGCAGCTCCGAGTGCCGTCAGGCCGCGTGGGACCAGTACCATCAGGTTCTCTGCCTGGGACCCTCCAAACAAGATCCCGATCACCCCCTCAACAAACTCCAGGAAGCTTGGAGGCAAGAGAGAGAGAGAGAGAGAGAGAGAGTGTTTGTGTGTGTTCAAAAGGAGATGCTTTGAAAAGCAGCTGCACAGTTCTTTCAAAAGGGCTTTTGTAGCAAATAGGATGGGATGGGATAGAGTAGAATAAAACAGAAATACAGAATGGAATAGAATAGAAAATAGAACAAAATAGAGAATAGAGTAGAAAATAGAATAGAATAAAATAGAAAACAGAATAAAATAGAGAATAGACTAGAAAATAGAATAGAATAAAATAGAAAACAGAATAAAATAGAGAATAGAATAGAAAATAGAATAGAATAGAAATACAGAATAGACTAGAATAGAGAATAGAATAGAGAATAGAATAGAAAATAGAATAGAATAAAATAGAAAATAGAATAAAATAGAATAGAGAATAGAATAGAAATACAGAATAGAATAGAATAGAAAATAGAATAAAATAGAAAATAGAATAGAGAATAGAATAGAAAATAGAATAAAATAAAATAAAAAATAGAATAGAATAAAATAAAAAATAGAATAGAATAGAGAATAGAATAGGAAATAGAATAAAATAGAATAGAATAGAGAATAGAATAGAAAATAGAATAGAATAAAATAGAAAATAGAATAAAATAGAAAATAGAATAGAGAATAGAAAATAGAATACAATAAAATAGAAAATAGAATAGAAATACAGAATAGAAGAAAATAGAAAATAGAAGAAAATAGAAAATAGAATAGAAAATAGTATAGTATAAATAGAATAGAGAATAGAATAGAAAAAGAATAGAACAGAAACAGAATAGAATAAGAATAGAATAAAATATTGGCCAAGGAATTTGCATCCATTGCGGGACCATACATACAAGCAAGAAGTGATCAATTAGTATCATATAATCATGAAATACAATAAATATTATCCGGGCGTCTTGCAAGGGGCTGGCCGGTCGCCATTCTGCGTTGCCTCTTGCAAAGCCGATCTGTGTGTCCTCCCTTTCTTTCCCCAAGGGGTTGGCTTAAAAGGTCCATTTTCTCTGTGGAATAGTCTGGAATCTCCCCTTCCTTCTCCCCTTTCTTTCCTCTCTAGGAACATCCACTACCCCCCGGAGACTTCGAGCATCATGTTGATGGCCAGAATGGTGGCCACCGTCAAGCAGGTACGTCTGGGCCGGGCCCACCAGCAAGGACGGCGGGTTCCCTAGGCTAAGAATCCTGGGAGTACAGCTAGTCCTCGACTTATGACCACTGTTGGACCCCCAAATTCCTGGGGCTGCTGAGTGAGACAGTTGTTTAAGTTCCATTTCATGAGGCCATTTAGAGGTCATGAAGCGAACTCCTTTTCTTGCAGGCGAAAGACAAAGAGCGGTGGATCAAACTTTTTTCCCAGTTCTGCAATAAAACGGCCAACGAGGAAGAAGAAATCATCCACAAATTGCTAGGAGACAAATTTAAGGTCGGGACAACGATGAATCGGACAGTTTTTTTTTCAAAAGAAGGAACATAGATGGCCATGGTTTGCTATCTCATCCTCCTTCCTTCCTTCCCTTCCTCCTTCCTTCCTTTCCTCCTCCTCTTCCTCCTCCTCCTCTTCTTCTTCTTCCTCGTCCTCCTGTTCTTTCTCCTGTTCCTCTTTTTCCTCCTCTTTCTCTTCTTCTTCTTCTCCTCCCTCCTCCTCTCTTCTTCTTTTCTTCTTCCTCTCCTCCTCCTAAACCCTATTTCCTTCGGTTTTGGCATGCCATATTGGCAGCCACTAGAATATAAAGAGAGAAAAATTTCAGTTGGGGAAAGACATGGCTGCTTTAAAAAGTTTTAGTTGGGGGAAAGACTTGGCTGCTTCAAAACGTTTCGGTTAGGGAAAAGACGTGGCTGTTTTAAAAAGTTTCAGTTGGGGAGAAGACGTGGCGGTTTTAAAAAGTTGCGATTAGGGAAAAGACACGACCGTTTTAAAAAGTTTCAGTTAGGGAAAAGGCGTGACTTTGAAAAAGTTTCACTAAAGACGTGGCTGCTTTAAAAAGTTTGGGTTAGGGAAAAGACACGACTGTTTTTAAAAGTTTCAGGGAAAGACGTGGCTGCTTTTAAAAGTTTTGGTTAGGGAAAAGACACGGCTGCTTTAAAAAGTTTCAGTTAGGGAAAGATGCGGCTGCTTTAAAGAGTTGGAAAGAAAATCTGTTCCAATTTCAAAGAATTTTTATGGTTGCAAGTGTGCGGTGTTGCACAGCCCTTCCGGGATACCTCTTGCTCTTTCTCGCTTTCCATCTGAACCCATAATGCCAAAAAGCGTATCTGGGTTAGTTCACTAACCAGGTTTCGTGTGGTGCAGATACAGTCGGAGTAAGACCGAGTTCCTTCTCCTTTCAGGGCCAGCTCGAAGTCCTGCGGATGCTTTTCACGGAGGCCCTTTACGATGACCATCTCAGCAAGGTAAACCTCACACCTGTCCGGCCATTGTAGGCCCCCTTCAACCAGATGTGCAGAAACTGTATAGATAATCCTTGATTTATGACCACATTTGAGTGCAAAATTTCCTCTGCTAACCAAGACAGTTAAGTGAATTTTGGCTTACGTTATGACCATCCTTGCCACCGTTGTTAAATGTATCCCTGCAGCTGTTCAGTTGCTAACACGGTTATTAAGTGAATCCGGCTTCCCCATTGCTGGTCAGAGGTTGCAAAAGGAGATCACATGACCCCAGGACTCCACAACCGTCATAGGTACGAGTCAGTTGCCAAGCATCTGAATGTGGATCACATCACCCTGGGGAAACTGTAATGGTTATAAGTGAAAAAAGTTTATAATTCACATTTTTCAGTACTTTTCTAACTTCGGTCACTAAGCGAACTGTTTTAAGTCAAGGACTACTTGTAATTTCATGACCTCAGACGTTTCATGGGAAGAGGAACACGGGTGGAATTAATCCGGGTGCTTCCTTCTAGGGAAATATCTTGGCCAGGATTGTGCAACTTCCATCAACTTAAGATTCTTTGGGGAAAAGCCATTTTTTGGATCCTTCCCCAGCTTGGAATGTATTTTTCTCAATCTTGGCCACTTGAAGATGTGTGGACTTCAACTCCCAGAAATCCCCAGCCAGCATGCTTCAAGTTGAGTGGAATTCTGGGAGTTGAAGTCCACGTATTAGGTGGGAAATTCTGAGAGATGAAGGCCACGTGTATCAGCTGAGGAAATGAAGGTCACATGTGCTGACAGAGGAATTCTGGGAGTTGAAGTCCACATGTGCTGACAGGAATTCTAGGAGTTGAAGTCCACATGTGCTGACAGGAATTCTAGGAGTTGAAGTCCATATATGCTGACTGAGGAATTCTGGGAGTTGAAGGCCACATGTGCTGACTGGGGAATTCCGGGAGTTGAAGTCCACATGTGCTGACTGGGGAATTCCGGGAGTTGAAGTCCACATGTGCTGACAGGAATTCTGGGAGTTGAAGTCCACATGTGCTGACTGGGGAATTCTGGGAGTTGAAGTCCACATGTGCTGACTGGGGAATTCTGGGAGTTGAAGTCCACATGTGCTGACTGGGGAATTCCGGGAGGTGAAGTCCACATGTGCTGACAGGAATTCTGGGAGTTGAAGTCTACATGTGCTGACTGGGGAATTCCGGGAGTTGAAGTCCACATGTGCTGACTGGGGAATTCTGGGCTGGGGAATTTTGGGAGTTGAAGTCCACAAGTGCTGACAGGAATTCTGGGAGTTGAAGTCCACATGTGCTGACTGAGGAATTCTGGGAGTTGAAGTCCACATGTGCTGACTGAGGAATTCTGGGAGTTGAAGTCCACATGTGCTGACGGGGG